GCAGCGGCGGCTCCTGGGCGGCGGCGGTCGCGGCGCCCGGGCCCCCGGCCTGCGGCCCGCCCGAGAGCCCGGCCACAGGGCAGCAGGAGCCCGGGAGCACCACGGGCAGGGACATGGACGGGCGGGGAAAGGAGCGGCCGGTGGGGACGCGGAGCCGAGCCGCGGGCGCCGCGCACTGGGCACCCCGGGCGGACCCCGAGGCCGAGGGGGAGGGAAGGAAACGAGCGCGGCCCAACCACTTGCTGCTGCTGCCGCCGCCACCGCCGCTGCCCCGGCTCCCGCCGGCCGCACCCACCTGCCACGGGGGGTCCGCCTCCCGCCGGCCCCGGGCGCGCCCTCGCTCTCCGCCCCTCCCCGTCCCCCGCCACACGCCCGCGCCGCGCGGCTGCAGCAGCTTTCGGGGCACTGCCCAACGCGCGCCCGCTCCCTGGGCTCCGGGAATGGTGCCCAGTCCCAACTCTGTAAGTAGGTCCCTCGCGCGAGGAGGGACCTCGCAGTCCGGGCGCGAAGGAGCGGAGAGCTGACGGTCTAACAGTCCGTCCCGCACGCGCCGAGCTAGGGCGGACCCTCGCCCCCTTGCAGTCCAGCCGAGACAGGCGCCCTGGCAAGTGTAATGCGAAAGGAGCCCGGCTTTAAACTTTTCCCCCCCACAGGAAGGGAGGATGGCAGGGGGAGGGGTTGTAGGTGACTTGGTGGGAAAAGTCTAAGCCTCAGGGCTTCTGGGAAGGACGAGGCAGAGCGAAGTCTCCGCTCGCGTGGGGCTCCCGGGCGCTGTGGCCACGCTGCCTGGAAGGTGGGTGTGGGGGGAAGGGGCGGGCGAGTGGGGGGTGCGTTCCTGGCACCAGGGTTAGCAGCCAGCGTGAGCACGAGGTTACCTTGGAAGTATCCAGCATCCAGAAAGAAAGAACAGGGGCGGGTGTGGCAAAGGTAACGCGGGGTCCGCCTCACCTTGCCTCATGAGCTATATGAGGCATCCCCCGGTGGAACGTAGAATCCCAGCCTTATGAAGAAATATCCTAATAAAATCCTAACTTGGTTTTGGTCACTTATAAGACATTCTTAGAGCTTAAAAACAAAAATGATTCGCCTTTGCCGAAAGATTTTCTCTAAGAGTATATGCCCTTCGCTCCGAAGATTCTTATGTTTCGAAAGCGCTCTTATACGTGAACCCATTATAATGGATTTTTTTTTTCCAGGTTCAGAAACAGGTCAGTGTCGCTTTGCAGCATGTCAGTCTCAATATTAGGCAGTTCATTTTATCAGTAAGGTGGGGGTATTTAACCTCCTGCACAATAAACCCAGGGAAATGTGTATCTGTTTTTATGCTCTGCTTGCAAAAGCTGTATTTATTTTGGTCCTTACTTACTCCAACCCACAATGTGAGGCATTGCCAGTGGGCATGTGTGTTTACATATACACTTTTTGAATTATTAAAGTATCTGTGATTAATAGTCCCTAGGACTTCTTTTACAAAGTGCTGTTGGAAATAAACTTCAAACTCTGGAGAAACGGAGCTGTATTTTAAAATAAATGTTGAAAGCATGTTGTTTCATGCACTTTAAAAACATCTTACAGCACATGTTCTTAAATTGCAGGTAATGTTAAAAGCTTCTTGTATGTTGAGTTTATACCTTTCATTTTATACACGAACCTAAAGGTATTTAATTTTTAAGATCTTCAGTACCGTGCAATATAAAACTTCTGGCTGAGTCTTGAGAAATTCTTCCAGCTTAATGAATCTATTCCAGTGGTCAGTCCTTGACACCTGAAATGTACTATCAAAATGTATTCTTTGTGTCTGGGAATGTTGGTGCCAGAAGTTGGATATCCTCCCTCCCCTTGGATGGTTAATGACTGGAAAGGGAAGGTTCCAGGAGAGCTGATAACCATCTGTTTCTTGCTGCAGGTGCTCGTTACATAGGTGAGGTTCATTTTGAGAAAATTCATGCAGTTATATTTTGCATACTTCTCTGTGTTTAATGCTTAAATATTTTAAAGTATTTCTAAGTACTTTACCCTTAAATTTTTAAAGTCTCTTTCCCTGTACAGTAGTCCTCCCTTATCCACAGTTTCAATTTCTGTGGTTTCAGTTACCCGCGGTCAACTGCTGTCCAGAAGCAGACAATCCTCCTGATATATCATCAGAAGGTCAGTAGAAGCCTAACACCAGGTCACTATGCTTATGTCATTCCCCTCACTTTGTCTCATCGTGTAGTCATTTTATCATTTCACATTGTCACAAGAAGAAAGGTGAGTACAGGACATAAGACATCTTAAAAGAGAGAGAGACCACATTCACATAACTTTTACTACAGTATATTTCTATCATTGTTCTTTTGTAGTTGTGCCTAATATATAAGTAAAACTTTATCATAGGCCTGTATACAGGGTTTGGTACTATCTGTGGTTTCCAGTATCTACTAGGGCAGACTGGAGCGTATTTCCCACGTATAAGGGGGCACGACCATACAGAAACAGATGATAAGGCAGGTAATGAAAATCCCTAGTTTCAAGCCACGAAACCTTTTCCAAAGCTGCTGATTACAAGTTGTCGTACCATAGGTTTTCCTTTTTTTTTTGTTTTTTTGTTACTGGCCCCATCTACAGCTGTGAGCTTCTTTTTTTTTCTGCTTATCATAAACACGAATCCAAGTAACATTTCCTCAACCTTTAAGATTATGCCAAATATACTCTTCAGTATTTGAATGTTGGACTTTGTAATCCAAGCTTGACTCTCTGCATCCCCCAACACTCGCTTACAGTTAGTCCTTAGTTACACCTGATCAAGCTGAGCTGTATATAAATGGAATCTTAGAGGATGATTCAGAGCCATGGGTTTCAGGTTGGCTTAAAAGACATAAAAGTGAGAACTTTGGAACAGTCTGGCAATTCCTCCAAAAGTTAAACATAGAGTTATCACTTGACCCAGTAATTCCACTCGTGGGTATACACCCAAGAGAAATGAAAACAAAAGCTGGTACGCCAATAGCATGATTCACGTGTGCCAAAAAATAGAAACAACCCAACTGTGGACGAATGGATAAACAAAATGCGGTAATCCATGCAATGGAATATTTTTGGCAATAAAAAGAATGAAGTACTGTACTTGCTATAACATGAAGAACCCTGGAAGTGTTATGCTAAATAAAGGAAACCAGTCACCAAAGGCCACATACTATATGATTCCATTTATACGCAATCCCCAGAATAGGCAAATCCATACAGACAGAAAGTAGATTAGTGGTTGGGGCCGGAGGGGGGGGCAGAGGCTGACTGGGGGGAGGGGGAGCAGTAAAGTGTATGGGTTACTTTTTGAGGTGATAAAATGTTCTAGAATGGATTGTGGTGATGATTGTACACCACTGTGAAGTTACTAAAAACCACTGCATTGTACACTTGAAATGTGTAAATTGTATCTCAATCAATCCCTTCCCCGAACCTCATTTTCCACTCCCTGCGCTCCAAGCCTTAATAAGGTGTTCAGGGGTTAAAGCTCTCTCCCCCGGGTTTCACTGGACACCTTTCCACAAACTGCTCAGCTCCTCCCGCCCTTCCTCCGAAGCCCCCCACCTGTCAGCTAATCGCAGGTGGCTACTCCCTGCTGGAGTGGAAGCTGCTGCAGAAACTCTTCAGAGAATGTTCCCTGGCCACCTGCCTCCAGCTCCCGCCTTGTGCATTTTACAAAGAGAAGAGCTTCTCTGAGTGAGGCACAGTGGGCTCTAGAAGTCTTCATTTAATATGGTGGCCCTGGGGCAGCTTCGCAAAGTGTGGTCCACGGACACCAGCACCGTTTGGGGGAGCATGTCAAACTGCAAGCTCACGGGCTCCCCTAAACACCTGTGGAAGCCCGCACTCTGGATAAGAGGCCTGGGAACCTGCATTTTAACAAATTCACAACAGTATTGGTGGATAGTACTATTCAGACTCCAGAATCTTTACATGGGGATTTTTCTGTGAGAGGGGCCTAGTTGGAAGGGGGAAGTTGAGGATTTGACTTGAAAACAAACTGAGATGTAAATGGGCTCGGAGGGAGGGGCTCCGCGGGTCCCCAGCCAGGCATGGGTTGCTCAGGGGACTCGTCTGCACAGGAAGGATGTAGACCATTGCAGTCTAAGGGGAAGGGCAGACATCCTGGGTTCCAGCCGTCCTCCACTCTGTGATCTTGAGCCAGTTCCAAGCTTCTCTAGCTCTCGGTTGCTTCATCTGTCAAGTGCAAGTTCGTGATGCTTCATCAGCCTGAGGCTGGGCCATGTGATGGGCTGGAGTCCCTGAGTGAGGCCTGCGATTTTGAAGTTTAGACATTCTATGACCGGGATTTCTCAGCTGACCATCAAGAGAGCAGGGGCCAAGAAAAGCAGATGAACTGGGGTGTGGAATGGTTAAACTTGCAGGCCCATTCCACAAAGTCACTGGATTTGACATATCTCAGCCATTGACCTACTGCAGACTCCAGGACAAAACCGGAGATTCATTCTAAACTTTAAGGCCCTGCATTCCGCGGTCTCCTATCTTTCCACAAGGTACAGTGTTGCGTGAGGAGTGGCCTCAATTATAACCGTTCCCTTTGCAGAGAAAGGGCTGCAGAACTTTTCTTTTTTTTTTTTTTAATTAAGAGGGTGAGACTAGAAGAAAGAAAGGAGCGCTGAGCAGACCTGGGCAGACTGGGCACTCCATTTTTCTGAAATGATGGTGAGGATTCCTAATGCCACTGGCCTCAAGACAGATTTATTTGTTAAACCAAAGACCTGCAGCAATACTTCCCTCATTGTTGAAATGAAACACTGAAAGCT